TTTTTTTAAAAATCGAGTTAAATCTGTACAAAAAGATCATAATAGGTGAAAAACTATTGACAAGAACCTAACATATCAAATATTAATTCAAAACCTTACCACTGTTTTAAAATAAACCAAAAACAAAAATTTGATTAAAAAAAATCTCATTACAGGAATAAAAACTAAGACACATCTTTGACACCACCATGTGGTCTCCTCTAAACACACACACACACACTTGCTCTTTCTGTTTTTAATCTCCTAACATTCAACAGGTCTCTGGTGACCCATCTAGGGTTATTAACCCACGGTTTGTTTTAGCTAGATGCTAAAAAAGTAAATTAAGTATGCATCGTTTTGCACTCTGGTTATTCAATTTTGGTTTTCCAAACAGATAAAAATTCCATTCAAATGAGTGGATGTTAACTGAATTCAAACCTTTCTCTCTGAGCCTAACTCATCAATAGTCCCCAATGACTGGGTGTCATACATCGAAGCAGGTGAACCATCGCCTCAACCTGTCGTGGTGTTGGCGTCACATACAAATGATGTCATGGGTCTTTTGTCCACATTGGTATGATGACCTCACGCACATTAAGTGGTCCTTTTAATGGAAAATGATTAAAGTCGATTAGAGCCACATCAGGTCGACCTGAGATACTGTTGAAAGGGCTATAAGTGGTAAGATATGAAGAAAGATTGCGCAGCAGGCTCACGCAGTGGCATCAGGACAGGAAAAACCCTTTGAGATAAAAAACCAAGGTTTATACTCGAGTGTTAGTGAACATGAAGTCGTATTAAAACATTATCCTGATATTCAGATAGTAACTACTGTTTTCCTGATAAACAAAGTAAACAACATGGTGATGGGCTTGCACACACACACAATAACAATGCAAAACATGAAATACTGTGGCAGAATACAGCAAGACAATAACATTAGTTATTAGAAGACTCAGTTTGTAGAAGTGTTACAAACAGACCACTTACGCAGGCCTCAGCTCTTTTTTTTTTTTTTTGAATGACACTACGGTCCCCGTTGGCCCTGCACAGATAAATGCTGGAAAATGTCAACTGAAAGCTGGTGAAAAATGAATACCCACGTTCAGGACACCCCGTGGTACATGTTCATCAGCTTGTTTGGTTAAACAACTATTTCCATGATGACATGATCCGTGCTCATTCTCTTTGCAGCATTCTGAGCTGCTGTGAAGAAAAAACAAACAGAACAGCAACATGAATTCTTGCAGCTTTTGTCTTAACAGTCGTCAGCAAACAGCAGTAAAAGGTTTTTAATCAGATCACGATTGCCTCATTTTTCTAGAAGTAACTTGTTTGTCAAAGGTCACCTGCAATACCACATTGTAACTTTGGAATTTACCTGCAAACCTCAATAACCTCAGCAGCTGGTGTCAAAACACAGTTCACCAGAAAAAACATGGCTGCTTTATAATAACGTGGCACCTAAAGAACAGACTTTTTTCTACCAATAACATCTATTGGTCATGAGCACAGTATAAAAAAATGGACATGACCACCGTGAGATCAACCAATGATTTATAAAGTCTCATTATGAAAGCTCAAATTCACACTTTTGTAGCACCGTTTGAAACCAGATTATTAGTTCTTATAACCAAAAATTATGTTGTGGAGGCCGTCCACCTTCAGTTAATACTGTAAAATGATAAAGCCAGACAGGAAATAAAATTTAAAACTTTAAAACTTTAAAACTTTAAAACTTTAAAAATTAAAAGTTAAAGCCCTCTGGCAACCATTAAAACATGTGTAATGTGAAAACGAACATACAAATGTTATATTTGACATAAGAAAACGAACATATCTACTTTCCTTTATCTCTATTTCCAACCTCACACACACCAACACCCACACACACACATATATAGTCAATATATCGTAGAGTGAACTACAAATACGGCATTAGGTGAGCAGATTATCCATTGCCATCATATCAACAAAAGGAGAATGACATTACACAGTTAGGCATGGATGATTTGATTATTTGATGTAAGCGCTGAAACCAAACAGTTTCCAAAAGCCTCCCTTTTATGAATTCTAAAATTGTGCATTAACGTAAATGGACTGGTTCTTATATAGTGCTTTTCTAGTCTAATTGAGCACTCAAAGTGCTTTATACAACTAATTCATTCACCCAATCACTTTTTCCAAGCTGTTAGCCTATCTAGCATTCATACACAGTCACACTCAATGGATCATCGGAGAGCAACATGGGGTTAGCATCTTGCTCAAGGATATTTGGCATGCAGACTTGGGGGAAGCCAAGAATCAAACCACGAACCTTCCAATCAGTAGATGACCAGCTCTACCGCTACAGCCACTTTTATGAAGACTTTTATGAATTGAATTTGAATTAGTGGCCAAATTTTACGTACAGTACAGTGAAAAAAAAGGATTTGCATTCCATTTTCAATGTTTTTCCTTCTTTTATTGATATTTGTCACACTTAAATGTTTCAGAGCTAATAGTTACTTGGCAGCAAGGGCGAAATCAAACATTTGGCAGTGAGCCTGTGACATTGCTGTGGAGAAATTTTGCGTATATATA